GAAATGAGTTTTCTCCGCAGGGTGTCTGGGCTCTCCCTTAGAGATTGGGTGAGAAGCTCGATCATCCGGGAGGGACTCAGAGTAGAGCCGCTGCTTCTCCATGTCGAGAGGAGCCAGTTGAGGTGGCTCAGGCATCTGTTTAGGATGCCTTCTGGACGCCTCCCTGGTGAGGTGTTCCAGACACGTCCCACCGGGAGGAGACCCAGAGGAAGACCCAGGACACGCTGGAGGGACTATGTTTCTCGGCTGGCCTGGGAACGCCTCGGGATTCCCCCGGAAGAGCTGGCCCAAGTGGCTGGGGAGAGGGAAGTCTGGGCCTCCCTACTTAGGCTGCTACCCCTGTGACCCGACCCCGGATAAGAGGAAGAAAATGGATGGATGGATGAAGTTTACAACTTAAGGAATTTATGGGGAAACATTCACTTTTTTAGAAGGTTTATTTTATATCCTGAAAAGGAGCCAAACTTCTTCAACAAGGATATAATTGGTGGTATACTACGCAGCGGATCAGAAACATAAAAGCAGGTCATTTGCATATAAAGACAGTTTCAAATCAAGACCTGACCGAGAAATACCACGAAAGTACGGGAGGGTTTGTAAACTATTGACAAGGGTTCAATAATAATAACAAAAAGTAGGGGAGACAAAGGGCATCCCTGTCTTATACCACGTGATAAAAAAAAGTAGCTAGAGGAAACTTTATTTGTATGGAGTCTGGCCTGGGGTGAATTATACAACAGTTGAATCCATGAAATAAATCGGTTCTTGAAACCAAATGTTTGTAAGAGCAAAGAGATAATTCCACTCCATGCGGTCAAAAGCTTTCTCAGCATCAAGTGAGATAACTACTTCTGGACTAACGGTAGAGTATTGGGTTAAAATCACATATGGACATTAAGAAACAACTGGCAGCCTTTAATAAAACCGTTCTGTTCTTCTGAAATAATAGAAGGAAGAATCTTTTCAAGGCGAGTTGTTAAAACTTTAGCTAAGACTTTAACGTCCACATTAAGAAGTGAAATAAGTCTATATGAGGTACAAGATGTAGGGTCTATATTTCATTAGGAGGACAGTGATGAGTGCCTGTGATATTGTGTGTGTGTGTGTGTGTGGGGGGGGGGGGGGGGGGGGGGCAATGAGCCATGTTCAATAGATTCATTATACACTGAAAGCAGTAACGGAGCTAATCTGTCTATAAATGTTTTAAAAGTTCGACTGAAAAATGACTGAGGTTTTGACATTAGAGACTTTTTACTGGATAAAAACTCCACATTTATCCTCAAACTCGACCTCTACAACTGAAACCTTCAAATAAGAAGAGCGTTACAGTCCAGCATGAACCAAAGTTTAACTCCTCAATCAATCTGGTGCCGGTTCTGAACCCTGATGATGGTGATGAAACGGTTCTGTTGGTTCTGTCTCCAGGAGGCAGAATTTGGTCAAGGCTACGGCCAGCAAGGGGCGCCCACGTCCTTCTCCAATCAGATGTGAGGAACAGGACGCAGGTAAGTCATGTGACGTCTTTGTGTCCATCCCACTGAACTGGAGAAACACTGGACTGGCCACTCATCGTATGAGGATCTACATGTATGAGTGTTTCTGTGTGGCAGCTATCACACATAACGTGTAAATTATTATTATCATCGGATCCGAGAAAACCTGCTGAAACTGAATAAAGCGACAGATTACCAACTCTGCCCTCTGTCAGTTTAACACTGATATGTGTTGATTTAGGAAGTATTTCCTGTGGACACACACTGAACAAAACGTAAAAACTGAAAGTCCTCATTTTTTTTATCATTTATGAACTAATATGACAAACTGGGAATATAAGACCTCGTGTTTTGAAAAAAAAAAAAAACGGCCTCAAATTAATGTGAAAACATTGAACTCCTTGAGAGAAGGTTTTTATTTTATCTCGTATTAATGTTTTCAAGTTCATTGTTGTTCTCATCACATGTGGTGCATGAGATGGAACAAAATTATGAATTCAGGGTCCAAACTACACCCAACAATAGGAAAAACATAAAGTGTAAAAAGAAACAGTAAATAAGGATCTAAGATATGCACCAAGATGTACACTAGACGAACACCACACAGTACGCTCAAAGATTTAGTTTTGTTACCACTCTGGCATTAGGGACACTCGTGTTGCTACATGTAGCTCTTCCCAAAATGGCGGCAGAAATTCTCATCTCATGAGAGTAGACGGTGCCAAGGCGGACGATCAAAAGTTGCTCTTATTTTAGACTTTATCATGAAATATAACGTTGATCATTTGTTCATTTTTCCCTCACAGGAAATGTCGGAGTGAACCAGCAGTGGGTCGCCTGCAACTTACCCACAGTGCAACACTCCTGTCTGTCTGCAGAGTTCCTGGGTGGGGGGTTAAATGTTCACTTTGATGAATCGATGTATAAATGATAAAAAAGAGAATTATAACTAACAAAACTCCACAACTTGAAGAAACCGTCGAACCAACATCCATGTGATGAACCTGAACCGTGATGGTTGTGTACCCTGTGTACCCTGTGGACACGATGTTTGTTTGTGTTGTACAAATATCACTTTCAACCCGTATATATATATATATATATATATATATATATATATATATATATTTACATATACCGTATACATAAAATATACTGTGGACTGAACTGTTTCTGCTTGTTTCCTGTTGAACCTGAGGATCTTTTGAAATCCAGATTCTCACCTGACTTTCATGATGCTGTTCACTCCGGCTTCAACAATCAGATCTGAACTGCTCCGGCGAGCCAGACCTCAACCAGAACCACTTCGTCAGACAGGAAGTGACATCATTCTGAACCTGGTCTGAGCCGCAGCTTCATGGTGGCGCTGGTGGAAACTGGATCCAAAATAGCTCCCATTCATTATGTTTGATTTTCTGTACCGACCCCGCTGCACAAACGTCCATCTGAAGGATCAAACTGACATCACTTCCTGAAAATCTGATGCAACCTCTAACCATGGCCCAATTCTTCTCTAACCACAATCCGATTATTTTTCATTCATTCAACCTTTATTTCTACAGGTTAGTCTCATTGAGCCTCGGGGCCTCATTTACAACAGAGACCTGATTCAACAAAGAATGAGGACAGTGGACAACAAATACAACAATAGGCAATCATAAAAGAAAATAAGTAAATTGAGAAGAATAAATGAAAGAATAAAATGGTATTCAAAAAGGAAACAAAAAACAGCTAGGTTGTGAAGTAATGTAGGGACGTATTCTCTAACCATGCTCTGGTTCTTCTCTAACAACAATTGGACTTTTCTCTAACTACGGTCCGATTCTTCTTTAACCAGAATCTGATTCTTGTCCAACTGCGATCCAGTTCAGTCTCTGACCACAGTAGTTACTCTGGCCTCTTCAGAAGCAGCAAGCTTGTGAAGGTGATGATCTTTGTATCTCTTCCACGCCAACATTTTGTCATCCATCTTTAGTATCGGTCTTCTTCTCGTCTCAGCCATTTTTGTGGAAATTTCTGAAAACAATGAAGCTTCTTTTTCTTTTTTGTTTGAATGAAGCTCATTTCCAGTTCGTTTCTTGATCCTTCATTACCTTTACTTTTATTCTTTAATGTTTTCTTCCTCAGTTTTTGTGCGTCACTTTGTCCTAGCCTTTGGCACGTTCTTTTCCTCCTCCTCCACCTGCTCCTTCTTTTGACCATCTCCTTCTCCTCAGCCCTTCATCTTAGTTTACGTTGACTTTTCCCTCAGCCTCTGTGATGTAACTTCCTGTGAGATGATATTCATCATTGGTAACCATGACAATGGTGTTGACAGTGATGATGATGGTATGTGTGACTTGTTGCTATCAATATGCTCCTCCCCCTGCCCCTCCCCCTGCAGTGTTTATTCAATGGAAAGTTTCAATAAACGATAAAAACTTGTGTGTGGTTATTTTTGTTAACATGATTGAATGGATGGATGAAAAACATAATCCAAACTAAAAAAGACTTTAAATGTGATTTTTAAGGTTCATCAAACAGAAGCATTAGAGAGAGTGGTGGCCTGAGCTCGAGATGTTGCTGGTTTCAGTCTCCTGATGGTTACATGAAAATGTGTGTGCGAATGGTGAAACACCCACACCTGTCTCCACCCTCCCCACACAGGGCCCTTGAGCAAGGCCCTTAAGCCCCCAGCTGTTCCCTGGACCAATCAGAGTGACAGCCTGAGGCTGAAAAAACAACTGCAACTTCTTTTTAATACAAACATCAAACAATACAAACTAACAGTAAAAAAAAGGCTCCTCCCACTGGTAAACCCCTCCCTGCAGTCCTGCCTCCTCTTCCTGGCAGCCCCCCCCCCCCCCTGAATTTATGTCTCCTCCCCCTCTCTGCAACCATGGCTCCTCCCCATCATCACTGTGTGTCTGGCTCCTCCCCTTCTGCTCCCCCTACATGGTTCCTCCCGCTCTCTCCCTGCAGACGTGGCTCCTCCTCCTTGTTACAGAGAGTCTGGCTCCTCCCCCTCTATCTCCCTGCAGCCATGGCTCCTCCTCCTCGTTACTGAGAGTCTGGCTCCTCCCCCTCTCTTTTCTTGCAGCCATGGCTCCTCCCCCTCTCTCCCTGCAGCCATGGCTCCTGTCACTGTGTGTTTGGCCCCTCCCCTTCCCCCCTCCCTCCTGCATGGCTTCTCCCTCTCTCTTCCCTCAGCCATGGCTCCTCCCCCTCGTCGCAGTTTACTCGGCACCTCCCCCTCTCTGCAGCCATGGCTCCTCCTCGTTACAGTGAGTCTGGATCCTCCCCTTCTCCCTTCAGCCATGGCTCCTCCCCCTCATCATTGATGAGAATAAAAATAACCCCAGGTTCCTCTTCAGTACGGCTAGTCTCTCTGTTGAACCATGTATCCCTACAACTATAAGTAGTGATGACTTCATGACATTCTTTATGCATAAAATTGTTTCAATTAGAGAGAAAATTCAAATCAACATTCCTAGTATCGACCCTGGTTCTGTGTCAACTTTAAAAATGTCACTAGAACCTGATTTGTGTTTGAACTGTTTTTGTCCTGTTGAGCTCTGAATTGTCAAAATAGTAGCTTCATCCAAACCATCCACATGCCTGCTAGATCCCATCCCAACCAGACTGTTTAAAGAGGTACTTCCACTAATTAATGTCCACATTTTGGATCTACTTAATTTGTCTTTAATCAGAGTCAGAGTTTCTTTATTGTCATTCGCACCTCATGTGGTACATGTGGTGGAGCGAAATTATGTACATGGGGTCCCAGTTACATCCAACAATAAAATGTAAAAGAAAAACAGTAATAACATCTAAGATATGAACTAAGAAAAACATCAACTAAATATACACTAAGCACTCATAACATAAAAACATTGAACATCAGCACAAACATGAACATGAGTCTGTGAGCAGATGTGCACGCATGAACACATCAACATTGAAACAGATCAGCAGCAACATGAAACAGATCAGCAGCAACATGAAACAGATCAGCAGCAACATGAAACAGATCAGCAGCAACATGATGTGATTTTTCACAGTGATTATTCTAGTTAGAGATTCATGAGTCTAACAGCCTCAGGGTAGAAGCTGTTCCTCAGTCTAGTGGTTCTACACTTAATGCTCCTTAACCTCCTTCCTGAGGGGAGTGGGGCAAAAAGTGTGTGTGCTGGGTGAGTGGGGTCCTTCATGATGCAGGTGGCCCTCTTCCTGCATCTGGAGGTGTAGATGTCTGTGATGGCGGGGAGACTGATTCCAACATCTTCTGTGCAGCCTTCACCACTCTCTGCAAAGCTTTTCTTTCTGCAGCTGTGCAGCCTCCATGCCACACGTTGATGCTGGAGCACAGGATGCTCTCCACTGCACACCTGTAGAAGGAGGTGAGGACTGAGCTTCCAGACCAGCTCGTCTCAGCCGTCTGAGGAAGTAGAGTCTCTGATGAGCTTTCTTCATCAGGCTGGTGGTGTTGTTGCTCCAGCTGAGGTTGTTGTTCATGTGTACACCCAAGTACTTGTAGCTGGAGACCACTTCCACC